GCTATTTTTAAAATTTCTTTTTATGAAATAGAAACGATTAATTCAAATACCAGCAAGGCCGTCTGTTGCTGAGCGTCATTCTAAGCCTGCAGACTGGCACAAGTTGTCATTGCAATGAGCTCTGATACTCTCTGTTGTTGTTTAGTTGTTAAGTCATGTCCGACTCTTCATGACCCCATGAACCATATTGCGCCAGGCCTTCCTGTCCTTCACTGCCTCCCTGAGTTTGCTCAGTTTCATGCTCGATACTCTCTGACCCTCCTTCAAAAAAACGTGTACCCAGGAAATGGACACTGCTGTTCCTCCAGTGACAGTCAAAGGCATCACACAAAATGAGAAGCAAGGGGAGAAGAAAATCTGCATTACTTGGTGGCATGGTAGACTGAAAAGGTATCCAGACAAAAACTGAAGAACGGAGGCTTCGCGTAAGCATCTAAAAGTTTACTGAAGCTTAGGTTACTGTATAGAACAGGGCAAAATGCGATTTCATAGAACCATTAAATGCTGTGAAACTGCTGTCTTCCTGAAAACACCTGAAATCTGGGGAAAACGTAGCTGCCTTGCATTTCTCCACACTTTGTCTTAGGAGGAAAGTTAAACTATTTTTAGCATTTTCCCCTGCTGAGGCAGTGCAATTAAATGTGATAGAGAGGCACTAATCAGAAGCCATATGGCACCACTGATTTTGAAGCACAGCTCCCCAACTCAAATCGGCAGGGAATCGTCTTTTAACACCAGGAAGAGCATACTGTCCTTGTATTTTATACTGCTCTTAAAGCAAATCAGTCGTCCCAGAACTGCAAAGGAAAGTGAATGACTCACTCAGTTGTCTGAAGATCTTCATTTTGATAGAACAAAGGGGGCAACGTAACGATAGTGATCTCCTGGTATTTTCCACCCAAAACCATGCGTTGGTTGGGGCCAGATTTTTTTCTGCTCTATTCTCAACATCCACTTTTGGAGAGGGAACACTGCACTTTCCAGAATTCAGTCTCTTGAATTTCAAGTTCCTTCAAAAGGAGTATTGGGGGGGGGGGTTACTCTGCATAATTATACTCAGTCCAGCATACAGCTTCTGAGTTGGACAGCTTATATGGAAAAGATCCAGTTACAGCATCTGAAATACTATGTGGTCGCCACATCAAGGACACCATGCCGACTGAGCACTGGCGTGGCCAGCTGTTTGCATGTCATAGTTGGTCACGCAGTTGTATCATTCTCAAGTGTGCCGCATCCAAAAGACTGGAAGTGCGATGGCTCTGTAGAGCTGCCTCACCTCCTGTACTCGCCATCTGGCATCATGCCCACCGTTGCAGTTCAAACCGCAGCCATGCCACAGTATGAATTAGGCTGTCATTTTGTAATGTGGTGTGGATCAGGCATGCTTATAATCTCTGGGTAAGCTTTGTTGTTTACTGTGGGTCTGTTTACACACATGCAAATGCACACATAAATATGCTGAGCTAGGTTCACCACCAGATGCAGCTCCTTACTTTAGAGCTCTCTAACTTGCATTTTGTTGTTATAAAACAAATGCCTATCAGTCATAGAGATAAATTAGAAATCATTATGCAAGCAGAAAGCATCTTAAAGGGTTCGGGGGAGGGGATTGCAATGCATTGTGTTTTTATTAGCATGATTTTGGCCATTGTCAGAAGCCACAAATTTTCGGATAGCATGGCTGAAGTTCTGTGTCTTTACAGCAGAGACCATTGCTTACTCTATAGGTATGATCATACAAAATAATTGAGACTTTGTCAGTGCTGTAGCCTAGCAACAGATAATACTGTTAGGCTACTGAATAGTTCCGGTTTGACAAGTAGGGAGTGTTTTTTGTGTTTATCATGTTTGCTAATGATGGGATCCTTTCCAAAGGACTTGTCTTAATCTTAATTAGAGTTTATCGGCAGAAGCCTGCATGACATTCTGCAGGCACTGATTTCATAAATAATAAAAAGCATGTGAAAAAAAAAATTGGCAGGACTCGGATATTTGAGGCAACTGATTATTGTAATAGAAGCGTAGATTTTCCAAAATGTGATCAACTTTGAACTATGACTTTACTCTTCACTCTAAAAATGTGCAGACAAAATTCACAACAGTTTTGACAGCAATTATGAGGGTCAGTTGTATACTTCCTGTTAGGAAACAGATCTGTTTCCACAGCCCAGGATGATAAACGTTACAAAGAACAGAGATCAGAGCTTATTTTTGTACAGATCTTTTAAAAAGTTATTTAACTGAGTGGCCTTTTCTTTAAAAAAAAAAAGTGCAAAGATGGAGCATAATTGAAACAGGAGGAAAGAGTAGCCCAGGATAGCCTTTTCTTTTGGTAAAAACTGAATTTATCTACTATTGTTTGAATGAGAATAGCTAGGCATCCTTTCAAATGAAAAAAAGAAGAAACAGTTCCATTTTTCCACTTCATTTAGCTGTTCCTTTCTCACCCTCAATTCCTGCTTGCTATAGCAATCAGAAATTTATTTTTCCCTCAGGAGAAACAGATACCTGAATAATGGGACCATTAGGGTGTGGATCAAAGTGAGCATTTCCTCTTTCATGGCTTTGGACCAACAGTGCACAGCTTTTTTCAGGCCAAAGGTCCCCTGTGATGTTTGAGTGGTATATGGGAGGGACAGGCTGTACCTGAGTAAGCTCAATACAGTTACATCTATTTCATCTCTTCTCTCCCCTTCCTACTTCATGCAACATTAGAAGTTGGGGGGCCTGGAAATGCACGCAGGACTGTGTGGCATACGCAATGCCAACGTCTCCACCCTGCTTTCATTACTTTAAAGGCACAGCCGAAGTTGTCCCTGGATTGGCCACGCTAGTCACAGTGTTTTATTTTACAAATAGTACTTTGGATCAAAAAGGGTCAGGAAGGTAGCTCACATCAAGATGGGTCAACCATGAGTTTAAAGAACGGGCTTGAAAATGTAGGTGGAAGAGAAGCATTCATCAGCCAAGTGGGTCAGGACTCACCAGGGAGGTTCCCTGCCCACAATGTAGAAAATGTTGGCTTGAGAGAGTTAGCTTGATAGAAGGTTGTATTTCTTACAGGAAATGATAAGGAAGAAGACTTAAGAAGAGGGAAAGAAGGAAATTCGGACATATTGGTAGTTTTGTTTCTTGTGGGGTGAAGATGCTCATTTCTTGCTAGCATCCTTAGAGTCAAGGTATATTTGATTAAATAACCGCTTACCTAGATTCATAATTGAACTGCACAAGGGTGCAGAGATTTGCAGCCTTGTAATAATTACTGTACATTTGATTTACTTGCATGAAGTGAAAATGGCAAAACTAAATGCATTACTAGCAAAAAGTGAATGCAAAGAAACTTTTCTCCTTTGAAGCATTGGATTATTTCTTCCTTTTCTGGGAACTTGGCCTGAAGTTTTCCCTCTCAAACACATCGAAAGTAATATTGTTTTGTTTGCTCATCTTTGAAAGCTAATAGGACTGGATTAATTAATTGTCCAGGATTCCACTAAAACAATGTCCTAATTCTTCTATTTTGCTGTTGTATATCATATCCTGTTCTTATCTCTTCCACCAGATTTTTGCAACAAGTTGTTTTAAAACTGTAATCTCTTTGAGGAAGGGAAGGAAAAAAATGAAGTGTAGTTGAAAAGACAGTTATGCTGAAAGATAAACATAGCAATATTACATATCAAATTTGTTATTTGGTAGTGTGGATTTTTTTTCTTTCCCCAATTAATGCACATGTGTATGTGCAGACACACACAAACACACCCCGGGGAAAAACCTTTTAAAGTATAAACTATACAACATTATTGCAGCCTTAACTGTTCTGGATAAATATCTAGGCCTGAGACTAAAGATAACGCTGTATAAGTGCATAACCTGTCTAAACATATTCAATAAATGAGCATTCATTATCACGTTCAAATACATTCGTTCATTACTTCTTACATAGTTAATTTTCTTTTCAATGCATAACATTTGGCATTTACAACCCACGCTTTGGTGTAGTTCACTGTTGGGAGAAAATACATCTTTTTAATTTGAATAACTCTTTATGAAACAGATCTCAGGGCATATCCCTAAAGGACGTTAAGACTGGCATAGCTGTGGATGTGATGTTGTATTTCATCATGTGAACGGTTCTTTTTCCCTCCTGGAGGAAAAACAGCCCACATACCAGAAAAGTGTAAAAAGATTGTATGAGAGAATAACAGTACATTTTGTGCATTATGATTTGCTTTCTCATTAATAGCCCTGGAATGAATACACAGGTCTTTCTTTATTCTGAATGCTTTTTATAACCTTCTTTTTTGACTCTGATTGATTTCTTCTTCTCCTCCTCTCCCTAATCCCTTTCCTTGCAACTCATGTCTTTTAATCTTTGAACTCACAGGTGGGTGGGTGGGGAAATATTTTAATTATTGTTTTTCACGAGTTGTTCTTGGTGTCTTTTTCACTTTAAATGTGATATAAACATTAAATAAATTTTGAATGAACATATTTAACTCATTTAGGAAGTTCATTTGAAAAACGGGAAGTTCAGCAAAACTACTAACTAGATATACATAAGAGAAATACATCAATCTACATCCAAGGAATGTTCATTCTTCCTAGGAAAAGAGGCTGCATTTAAGGAATATGTGGGTCATACAAAAAATAAAAAAGCATTGTAAGTAATGTGGAGCTTTGCTTTTGAAGCTTCCATCTATATTTTCATCAAAGCAGAGCTCAGCTCTCCCATAAAGGCAGAAAGAATGTTATAGGCCATTTCCCTACTGGCGATTTACAGCATATCCATAGCATCATCAGCTCACTGCTGAAGTGCAATAAAGCCTGTCCACATTACTGTTATTTGGGTACGACGATGGCTGGATGATTCTAGAAGATGCTACTAGTTGCTTATGGGGAAATAACCATAAAGACAGAAGGTTCCCCCCTTAAATGACCCAGCATTGGAGCTGACAGGCTGTACGAAATACTACCTCTTTATGTTTTTGTGTGCTTGTATGCAGGAGGCCAGCTTTGGTGCACAACCACCAAAGTTATTGCGGAGGGTGAAGAGCTAATTGCCTTTGTTGTGGATTTTGACTCAAGGCTGCAAGCTGCCAGTCAGATGAGCCTTACGGATGGGATGTATCCTGCCCGACTGCTGGATTCAATACAACTCCTCCCTCAACAAGCTGCGATGGCCTCCATTTTGCCAACAGCTATTGTGAACAGTGAGTGCTGTACTGCAGTCGGTGTTTAAAATAAAGTTAATAAAATTGATGCTCATAACCCTTAAAACTTTTCAGCGTTAGTTTTCAAGTCCAGTGGGGTGGGGGAGGGAGGGCCGGCTAGTTTCTAAACTGCAGATGGGAGGTTTTGTGACTAAATATTTTTGGAAATAAACTACTCTGTGATGATAGAAATCTAGATGTTCTGGGAAGCTGACTTTTCCTTGACATTTTGGATTTCATTTCAATGTGAAATGATTCTTCAGGAGCATTTTAGCATCTCCCAACTGAAATGATATGACCCAAGAACACTGTCATGTGAGTCCAGGTATCTGACTGTATGTTGGTTTTTGCATTTTCTGAGCAGCATCTGAAATCAAATATGGCATGAATTAAAAAAAATAAAATACAGCAATTTAACACACACATAAAATCCTATACAAGTGTCTATAAAAGTCAAAAGCAAGTGAAATTGACCACAATATTCTTCCTAATCTATTCATGGCCAAGATTCTTCCCTTCCCACCCCTCCCCTCCCCTCCCCTCCT